TCTCTCCTAGCCATTACTGTTCAACTTGGTTAGCGTTTGTTATTAAATAATTAATACCACTGAACCACCTTGAAAGGAAGTCCAAAAGATTTCCTGTGGCTGGATTAAGAAGGAATTTGCCACAGGGCATGACTTCCACATCTTTCCAGATGCACGGTGGCATTAGATTCCATGGGTGGACGGGAGACGGACCTTGGACATACGAAAGACGGACCACAACTGTATGACATCCTTGTAAACAGGGCATAAGGTTACTGCCAGAATCATATCAGGGATTGCACCTCGGCGTTAGGAAGAGTGAGGTAAAGTATTGTACCGGAGGATGGAATTCAAGTTGTCGTCGTCCATTTTCCCACATCAGATGCTGCACCCCGCTTGCAAACGCTGTGCAGATGGTACTGAGTCATTCGCTTTCTGTCGTAATTCGTGTCGTGTTTGTTAGAAATAAAAGGCAGTTGGCATGATAAATCCCCCAAGGCGACTAGGATCAATACTCCTGGCAGGATAGAATTCCGCGACCCTGGCAGGCGCTGCATAGCGATTTCCACAGAGAGAGGAAGGTGCCCTTATAAGGGCCCTATCAAGCCACAATTTACGTCCCAAACGCCCGCCACGCCCGCCCGCCCACAAATGGACGACCGTTCCTGACGCTCGTATTCATTCATTTGCTAAGCAAATTATGGATTGGTATGAAGCGGCCGTGATGCTGCATGCATACATGGGTACACATATGCAGCCGTATCTTCGGTAGCGGTGATTGGTAAGATGCCTACGGGAAACTCGTCCGAAATCGATTTACAAGTCACGGAGGCTTTTTCTTCGCCGGATTTTGACCGTTTCACTGCGTTCTTTAAAAGGCCAAGTAGGAAACCATCGTGCCAACTGCCTTTAAGCTCCACACTCCTTGCGTAGACACACATTCCGTTAAGTATGAATGCATCTTTGCTTTACGTGGGTAGGATGACGCCGAGATGCATCTTTGTGTACCTTATGCCCTAGAAAATAGGGCATGAAGCTATGGTAACAATGTCAACTGAGAAATATTTTGCTACAGTCCTCATCATTGCGGACTGGTGGGGCGTGTCAGCCAGCATGAGTTTGCACACTGTTGAAACCGTTCTCACAAGGAAAGGATGGTTGGTCGAAGTGGCCATTCGAAATGAGATGTATACTGCCCGATGGGCCCTTGAACGCTGATTACAAATCTGCCCTCCATTTCTGCTGAACGATTCCCTGGACAAAGTTATGCAGGAATTTTGACCAGGTCACACCCATTTCCAGCATGTATTTGAGGCAGGCAAACACCACCAAAACCCCCAAATTTGCTAAAATCTGGAATTAGAGGTGGTCTGGTGCTCTGGAAATCATCACTGCAGGTATTTTTCATAAAAATGTCTTGTTCACATTCTGGAGGGGCAGGGTGTGCAGGACCTGCAACTCCCTTGGCGAGCGTTTTTACGCCGAGCAAGTGTGATATTCGTGTTCTGGGGCTCAAATTAGCCCTAGAGGCAAGTTTTCAACCAAATCTGAGATTTCGACCTATTTTCGATACAGTGGGGTAACCATGGGCAACGAATTCCTTAAGGTCGCTGGCACTATCGCCGATCAAAATCTCTGTGAGCCATGCAACTTTTCCGCTGAATCTCAGTCCTTATTGGTTACTGACGGCCCTGATCACAAACATGACATTCACTTCTGGCTTCCATGCCATTTGGAATCAGTTTGGTGGCACAACACAACGTAACGAATAATGCCGCCGAAACCAGCAATCAAGGGTATCCTTCAGGAGTGTAATGGCTCCATTCCTTTTTTGTAACACAGCAGAGTGCAAAGGAAATTTTTTTTATCCGGTGTTCCCATTGCGAGAAACTTTTTTGCTTCCAACACTTTGTTTGGATTATCACATTGCGCTTTCAGTCACAAAACTGTGTTTGTACCTCATATATGAGCAAAAAAAATTCAAATATAAATCATTAGCAGTGTCACAGGCTAGAATGGTTCAGTTTTCCAAGGTTTCCTTGCCCTATTCATGGCATGACAAGGTTCCCTGATCATGCTAGGCTGTGTTAAAAACTTCCAGAGAGCACTGCTGAAACAATGCAAAGAGCACGTCCATCAAGGACTCGAACCTCCTAACCTCGTGAACTTGAGCACGGCATACTACCACATTAGTACCAGGCAGCAGATCATGTGGCGACTCACGTCTGATTTGTGTACCAAGCTCAATTGTGCTCCGTACAACAACCTCCTGCATATCTCTGCTCAGAGAATCGTTTAGCAGATATGGAAAGCAGATTTGAAATCAGCGTCCGAAGACGCCATATCACGGCTATGCATCTTGTGCTTAAAATGACCACTTCGATCAACCATTCGTTTCCCTGTCAGCCTTTTTGCTGAAACGCGTATGCGACAAAAAGTGGTAGAAAACGAGTAATACGAAGGATATAATACAGTAATGTCACTTGCTCGCTTCATAACTGGTGCAGAACGACTTTGGCACCGCGCCAAACGCAGCCGCACTGACAGGCCACACCGGTCCGCAATGATGAGGTCTGTACCAGGGGATAAGAGCACGAAATATCTGGATGAAAGGCAAAAGCTCAGTCAGATCACATAGAGTACTAAACACTATGGAACTTTGAAATGAAGAACGCTGTTATTTCGCCAATAGACACAGCCATTCTCAGAATCTGCCTAAAAACTTTCCTGAAGGGTTTCGCTACGACGGACTTCAGGAAAACGGCAGTAATGGTGAGCTTAATTATCGGCTATTCGGTCTAAAAGGCAAAACGGACCATTTGTACATTGGAATGTTTTCTTTTCTCGACAGTTTGTTTTTCCCTTGCTTCTAATGAAAATAATCTTTTACTTAGCGGTGACACTCTGTAACAGGGTGACAGCCGAAAGCAACTCAAACGGGGTCATCGGGATTGGTGAAGAACAGTCCCCTGAAATTTCTCCTCCATTATTACCCCTCTCTCATTAACCACTTTACCATCTCCCAAAATTTTCCTGTCAAGCGGGGTGATGGGTGTAGCCACCTCCGCAGGTGTCACAAACAGCAGTTATGCTGCACTGATTGCTAGGGTGTAGAGGAATAGCGCGCGTGAACGGGGAGGTCCAACAACGGGGATAACCGTCAAAAGCCCAAAACACCACGCTGAAAGGATTTTACAACAATATCTGTCTGACTGGCGAGGAAACAGATTTTGTCAGGCACACAGATCATCATAGGGGTACAAGATTCTTGTGCAAAGTAGACGTGTTCAAACGAGAGGGCGTGACATAAGAGGAAGGTCCCTAGTTCCAGCTGTCTCCGGTCTTAATCTTCTATTCTGAAGTATTGTAATGGGGCTCGATATGATAGCCCGCGGCCGCGTCGCATTGCTTGCCGCCCTAATCAAGTTACCGGATGACGACTGTGTATGGTTCGAGCGCGTCAGTTCAGCTGGCTGGATACCCTTACCAGCAAATTCTCCACAGAGTTTGCCGACCCTTGGCTCACTGCAAACTGGTTGCACGCTAAGACTTCAATCAGGACGACCCGCGATAGAATGCCCAATCCATGCTTCATTTTGCCTGCAACGATGGAAATGAACAGAACCGTTACATCTCTAACTCATCGATGGTCCTAGATTTTGCAACCTCACAATGGTTTTCAGCCCTTCACAAAAGTGCCAAGGATGTTGGAGTGAGGTTCCACAGTGCCCTTCCCTTACTGCTCCTACATGCGACTGTTTCCTGTTTACCACAGCGACATCAAGCACTTCTCAAGTAATTTCGTTCCGATGCATGTGTTTCCATATTTTGATAATAAACTTTCAATAGTCCACAACAACGTTTATCGGTGAACAGATGTTTCCATAAAATGTCTGTGTATACTGTCTAAAACAAATGTTAATACTCTATTTATCAACGTGTTAACGACCAAACTAATTAGCGCTAGTCCACTCAAAGGAATTTCTGAATCTCATCATAGATGGCAAGCACAAGAGCTCTGCCAGTGGCCATCGAGGAAAATATTCGAGCAGGGCAACCCGGCCTGGAAATGAACAGATTAATGGATGAATTGCACTTTCTAAAAAAACTTACGTATTTCGACGAGTAAAACACAACACTTGAACCCCATCGGCCTCATTCCTTCGTTCCTTATAATTTTCATGGCACAATCAAGAGTATTCTTGTAGAGAATATCTGATCGACCAGACTGCATCATCATACGCCGTCGAACGGTGTCCCACGGATAGGAAAGAATACCAGAGCTCACAGTTAGCATACCTGCACAGAAAGGAAACACAAAGGCTAGCGTGACTTTGAGAAAAGTGACAAAGCACAAAAGCTCTACCTGCGCAAGAGCCCAGGCTGCAAAGAAGTTCAGCTTCTTTCCTTCCGCTGCCAACAAGTACTTGATCGTGTCAAACATTCCAAAGTAGGCCGCTCGATAGATAATGATTCCTTGCACGGAGACGATGAATCCACTAAAATTTCGCCACAAAAAACTTCTCATATAACACACTAGCGGTTAAGCTGGCCCTTCAATGCAGTTAGTTCAAAGGGTGTGCACCGTAAAAAGTGAAGGATGCTTCTTGAGCAATATAGCACAGAAAGTTGCGTATATTACCAAATTGAATGAACTATTCCAGCCTCCCCATTCCATCTTTTGGACCTAACTGGGGCTAAACGTGGTTTCATTCAATGTGTTCTACGAGACCTCTACTTAAGGAGAAGCTGGACCATATCCGTCGATTACGAGAATTTATGTGGCTCTTGTACCCCTTCCGAAACAAAACCCTCGTCAGTAATCCAAGATGCTGCCAGGAAAGATCCAGAAAAAGAGCAGTAGATAGCTGTTGCATCTGCTGACCACAAAACTGCTAATAGCTTGAACAATTTCTCACGATTGCTTATTTGCAAAGCAGCGGCAGGGGTAAAACTATCCGTTACGTGAGCGGTAACAAAAATTGCTTCATTTCACAGAAAGTGAGGGCAGGGCTTTGTGGCAACGCGTCACATACCAGCGCCACCCCGGACACAAAGTGCAGAAAAAAAAATTGTGGGTAGGGCGGCCTCCCAAAGACAATAATCATGTTAATTGGGCATTATGAAGTACTAGCTTTTTATGTAAGGACAAAGAAAGTTAGATCTTCGCCGTTAATCAATTCCTTTCTGGGGATGCGGCACGCATTCTACTCCCATTCAGAATCGCAGTGGCCTAATGACGCGATAAGGCGTAAACTTCAAATCCTCCCAGGCCATTGTGGTAATAACCCACCACACATAGAGAGAAGGGCCTGGTTGACCTAGACGGGCAGTTGATCTGGGATTTAACCCCAGGAATGCGCGCTTACAAGTGTGTCCCGCTTACCACCGGAACAGCATTTTTTTGCACCCTATCAGGTGGCGCTCGCCATAGTCAAAATAAAAGCTCAAAGCGACACAAAATGGCTGTATCCCACAACACATATCCTACTTATATATTGATTTACATGATTTATGACGGTCTGCAGTGAGCATGGCTACAAGGAACAGCAGTAATCTTCAGAACCCATGTGTAGGCTAGCTGTGGCGTTTACATGAAGCTTGCTGGTACTGTCTATTACTACTCCCTCGCCGCAAGCTACGCTACAAACGATGCTAGCTCGATGATTAAAAAAAAACAAACCGGTAAAGACCAATTGGACCATCTGACTTGAAGACCTTCACCAAACAATCAGTGAGCCCTTGGAACTCTCGACCAGTTCCTTTTCCGATGTCAACAGCCAGCCTAGTTCCTGTAAACGATAAGGTGTCATCATGACGAAATAATAGCTACACGATCTTGCAGTGGGGCTCCTGCTGAGAGTAATACAAATCATCCAGCTGACATTTTCGACTTTCCCTCATCAAGCAATTCCTTGTATCGTAGCGTTCAAATTTCCTCCAATCGCACAAGACAGCCTCACTAGGCTCATGTTTCGGTATTTTCTCCCTCGCTATCTTGTTGTGTAAACGCACACCTGGCGCTGATTAGTTCCCCACACCTTTATGTCGGGAAAGGTCTTCTTTCATATTCTTATTCTATATTTTCGTTCAGGGAAACCTACTATAATTACAGGAAAAGCCTGCTGTAAGGTAGAATCAAAATAGATTAAAAAGCAACGAATCACTTACGAGCAAAATCGAGTGGATATACGAAACAAAGAGATGTTGCAGCACCAGCAGCTCGCTCCGATCGAGCTTTAACGCACACCGGCAAAGAACTTCCAGAAGTCCTTCTTTTTGTCAACACTGGAATGTTTTTTTGTCAACAGGAATGTTTTTTATAAAAAGCCAGTATTCTGAATCAACGAAAACCTTAAAATTCAAAACAAGAGCTTACCCTTTCAAAAACATCACGTTATACGTGTCTTTAAAGGCGAAGTTGAGCGCCTGTGTTGGGAAATATCTCAACACGTTTGCCAAATTTCCTCTCCACAGAGAGAAAAAGCCTTGTTCCTTTGGAACACGAACCAACACATCGATAATACCTTTGTACCGTTTGTCGGCCGAAATTGTTTTTGAGGCATCTTGTACCTGAAAAAGGAATGAACTTTCTTCAAAGCCATCACTTCAGAATGAAGTATCTGACAGGTGGACCGCAAATAATGTTCCAGCGTCTCAATGTTGTGCTGTCTTACAGCCATATCGTCATCTAAATGCTGTACAATACAATGAGGTACCAAAATTATTCTTAAGGGGCTCAAAATACGCAGAAGCTCAAAAGTTTCTAACACTTCACGTTTGTTTCGGTGCGTAATACGCGTCATATCGACGTTATTGGACCAACGTGTCGTATGACGGTGACAGGGCACATGTCAAAGGGAAATGCTCTCGCTGCAAGGGTACAGAAGTATTTTCCTCATGGCATCTACTAGTCTAAGAGTCGAACGGAGAAGGCAAATGAGCGGAGGAAGATAGGAGGAAGGAAGGAAAAGAAGGGAGGGAGAAAAAAAGGAAGGCTTCGCGGATGGAAAATATCCCGAGATGGCCGTATGACGACGTATCGCATTGGCCCGTCATCGTCTGGGCTAGGGAAAACTGCATAGCCCACCACGACGAGCTGAAGACGAGGAGATCACGTCCCAGAAGAAACATATGTACTTCAGGAGAGCCCTCCAGCAAAGGCCTAGCCACATCACGCTAACTAGGTGAGAGAGTACAGGAGGAGGGTGACATGTTCTGACCGTTGGCTAAGCCATATTGGAATAAGCTACGCTGCTTGCTGAGTGGGTGCGGACGAGGAAAAATGAGAAGGCATCGCTCGCTAAAGGTCCCACATACGACTACCCTCTTAGAGAAGTTGGAGCGAGAACGAAATTGCGGGGGAGGGGGGAGGGTCGTATTTCCCGAAAATCTCCCCAGCAACAGGACGTGTTCTGAGAAGGGGTAAACACATCACAACTGCGTATAAACATTCGTTATTAAAGCGCCAAGGGTCAAAAGGTTCTATCCGAGACGTCA